TTATTACACTAACAAAAATAAAAACAAAAATATAGCATGCGTTGTAACGAATGGCATTACACATGGGCACTTGATACCCTCGTTGGTGAGAGGTAAGCTTGTAGTTGGGAAGATCCATCAAGGACTTATTTAGCAAAATTAAAATGCATCAACAGGAAAAACTCAGTTTACCTCTCTCAGGAAACAACTAAAGGGGCCGGGGAGATGACTCAGTGGAATAAGCGCTTCTCCGGCAAGAGCAAGGGCCTGAGTTCAATCCCTGGTTCCGCAAAAAAAAAAAAAAAAAGAAAACAACTAAAAAACCGGACAAGCCAAGCAGGGTGGTGCACACCTATAATCCCAGCACTAGGAGGCGGAGGCTGAAAGGCCATTATGAGTTTGATGCCAACCTGGGCCACGACATGAGTTCAAGGCTAGCCTGAATTACAAAGCAAGATCCTTCCCCCTCCCAAAAACCCCCAAAGGAAGCCAAACCAAACCAAACCAAACTCCAGACAAAACATAAAAGGCTTACAGAATCTGAACTTGTTTAAAGATTGGACGTGATCCCAAGACAGAAAACAAGCAAGACAGTCCCCATCACTGCTTCAGGACACTACCTTGAGAAAGTTCCCAGGCCATGGGGGGCGGGGGAGGGAAAATTTTAACAAGAGGCAAAGAGACAGAACCCAGAGCGAGCAGACCAGAGGACTAACAAGGGCAGCACTGAACACCCAGAGGAAAGGGCTGCACAGAAAGAGAACTCCTGAGATCTCCAGAAGGGAGGCGCCTCCAGTATCCAGCAGAGTGGGAACCCTGCTGCCTGTACACAGAAACTGCCTGAGGCCAGAGCGGCGACTAGCCCAGAGGATTCAAAGGATTAACTCCCACACTTTCCACAGGGCCAGGAGGCGTAACTTCGTGAGCCAGCCAGGAAAGCATCCAAATCCATGGTATATGAGGTCGAATTCTCAGTGGGACTGAAGTGCGAATGATTCACACGAACAGGATTTGAAGAAACTCAGGCTGCTTCCAACTAACAGAGTAAATGCATCCAAGTACAGAGTTTAAGGGTATTTACAGAAATACAGAAGTAACCATCAGCCAACAAGACACAATTCATAGTGTATAAAACACAATTAAGAACATTGCCAGGTAGCCAGGCATGGTGGCGCACGCCTATAATCCTATCTATTGGGAGGCTGAGGCAAGAGGTTTACAAGCTCAAGGCCAGCCCAAGCATCTTATCAAAGTCTGTGTTAGAATAAAATATAAAAAACGCTGTTGATATACCTCAGTGGTAGATTGCCTGCCTATCCAGTGTGAGGCCCTGGGTAGATTCTAGTAGATTTTTTCTTCTCTAGTAGAAATTTTTCATTGTCTTAAAGACATTGATGCCTTTCCAGCCAGAGCCCAGGGCCAGAGTGTGTATGGGGCCATCTGCACGCTTGCTGGAACCTCCTCCATCAGACAGCCGTGGTGTGGAACCCTGCAGCAGAACTCCCTGCAGAGAGGCCAGGGGCCAGACCCAGCCAGCTAATCCAGGAGCTGAACATCTAGCCAGAGGGGCACAGCCGGTCACTTCCATGGCCTGCAGCAAGAAGCAGCTAAGCACAGTAGCCAGGCCCAAGCCAGGAACATCTGGATGAGTTCAAACTTGGTAGATCTGGACACGTTAAGGTGAGACACTTTGCTAGACCCAGATCTTTGAGAGCATCCTCCTTCTTTCTCTCTTGATTCAGATAGGGGGCAACAAATAACCGGGGTGAACTCATCTGCTTATAACACCCAGGTACACAGAGGGGAGGTGATCAGACAGAACTTATGGGAACTAATTTGAATACAAATTCCCAACTTAATATCTGCTTAGCTACACAGATATAATATTTGCTCTTATGGTATAAAATGCAAACCCATTAGTTACAAAAGTTGGTCAATTGATAAATATCACTACCCATTATTAGTGTTCCTAATTGTAGTTCTGTAAATACAAAACTGTAACTGCCTTAACCAAATAATCTCTCTCGGGTAAGAATATGGGGAGGTGCTAAGGCAATAACTGCACCAAATGTCAGAGGACAGTGCTATACAAAATGACAAAGAGAAGGAGCAAAATGTATCCTCAGGCCCCGAGCCCACCCAGAACGAGTGCAGGAGACACTAGCATTGAAGAAATTGGAAAGCACATACCTGAAATCTCTGAAATAATAGTGTCTGAAGTAAAGAAACAACTGCACAAAGGTATAGAGGAAATCAGATCAGAAATAATCTCTGAATTAAAAAAAATGATAACTACAATGAAGGAATTATTAAGTGCTTCTAAAGAAGACACTGATAAAAAATACAGGAGAATAGAAAAATGATGGAATTCTTGAATGAGCAATATAGGAAAGAAATAGAATTTGTAAAGCAGATTCAAAAAGATATACAGAAAATTAAAACCTCAATCACAAGCTGGTAAAACTATTTGAATGAAAGTGAAGATAGAGTTTCAGATCTTCAAGATGCCATTGTAGCTAGTGAAAACGTAAGAAAAGATCTCTTTAAAACAACTAGAATGCAGGAAAAAATAATTCAGCATCTGCAAGATGATGCAAAGATGAACAATGTAAGACTAATAGGGGGCTGGTGAGATGGCTCAGTGGTCTAAAGCACCTACTTAGAACAAGCTAAGCAAAGCACAGGGACCGCGGTTCAATCCCCCAGCACCACATGCCAGCCAGCCCCACCCCCTGGTGGGCTGAGCTGGCCACACACACACTAAATAAATAAATAAATAAACAAACAAATAAAATTAAAAAAAAAAAGACTAATAGGCATCAATGAGAAAGAAGGAGCCAATATAAATGATATAAAAAGAATATGGGCAGAATAGCAGAAAACTTCCCAAAGATGAGGAAACAATCTGACGTTCACTAACCTAAGCATATAGAACTCCAAATAACATCAACCCAATTAAAAACACACCCAGATATATAATAATCAAGATCCAAGAAATCCAGCACAAGGACAATATACTAAAAGGTGCTAGAGAAAAGAATCAGATCACATTTAAAAGAAAACCCATCAGAATAACGGCAGATTTCTCTTTATAAACCATTAAGTCAAGAAGAGCATGGAGCAGAGTACTTCCTCTGTGAAAACAAATTCCAGCCCAGACTACAATACCCTGCAAAACTCTCTTTCAAGTTCGATGGAGGAGTGAAATCCTTCCATGACAAAGAACAACTAAAGAATTTCATGATAACAAAGCCAAGCCTACTCAGACTACTAGAAGATATTCTAGAGAGGGAGTGAAATGACCACAATTCCATGAATGAAAATGAAAGAACCACCAAATAGGGCAAACAATTAAACACATGAGAAAAAGAGGTATACAACAGCAGGTAAATAACATGTCAATCATAAGTCAATCCATCTCAATTATAACCATCAATGCAAATTGACTCAATTCACCAATTAAAAGAAACAGACTGGTAGAGTGGATTAGGAAGCAAAATCCAACAACATATTGTATACAAGAAACACACTTAACTCATAAATAAATTCATAGGCTGATAGTCAAAGGACGGAAAACAATATTAATGCCCCAGCACCTCAGAAAAAAGCAGGAGTAGCAATCATGCTTGCAGATAGTTTGAACTTCAAACCAAGAATGATCAAATGAAATAGAGAAAGCCATTACATACTGGTTAGGGGAAAAATACAAGAGAAAGAGGTAACACTCATAAATATGTACACACCAAACATGGGAGCACCCAACTATATAAAGCAAATCTTAATGGACATGAAAAATCTAATATCCAATACCACAATCTTAACAGGAGCCCTCAACACTCCCTTATCCCAAAAAGATAGATCAAACACAAAAAATTAGCAAAGAAGTAGCAGAACTGAACCAGAACTTGGAACCGATGGACTTAGTGGACATGTACAGAGTGTTCCACCCCACCACATTTGACTACATAGTTTTGCAGCTGCACATGGGACAATTTCTAAAATAGACCACATACTAGTCCATAGGTCATGCTGATACAGGGAGAAAATCTGATGGGGGGGTGACCTCCAAATGATACAGGGAACCTCCAAATGACATAGGGAAAAGTGATCTCCTGACCTGGACGAGTTCACGTTCTCTAAAAACAAATAATGAATTTTAGGAACAAATGGAAGTTATAAGCAGAATATATTTACTGAGGAATGAAAGCTCCTGTCTGAGAGAGGGATGGGACGGGGGGGTCCCCGAGTGGGTAGTCCCCAGGAAGATGTCTCTTCCAGGGACTTTTATAGTGTAAAACCATGTGGGGCTAACGTGGAGAAAGAGGGAACTGGCTTAGGTGGATGTGGGGTGGGACAAAACCATGGTCAACCAATGAGATTAAAAGCACCATTGCTCAGGTAAAATTGATTAAGCCCAGGACCAAATGAGGAAGGGAGTCATGTAGCAAGTAGGTATGAATATAAAACAGGACTTTATCTGGTAGCCATCAGATAATGGGTCTTCCTGGCTTTCTCTCGGTTATGATCTTTAGGGAGGTTAGCATTTGTTTGATCTTTGGGCCTTAGGTCTGGCTCACAGCAGGAGCATCTGTCCCTCCCACAGTTGTAAGGTATCTTTCCTTCTGCGTTACCTCCTTCTAGGGCCTGGGGCTGTCTAACTGCCTATAATACTTTTATTTAATTCGGCTGCCTGCAATAATGCTTAAGTGTATATAAGAAAATAGAAAATTTCCCATGGATATTATCTAACCACAGTGCAATGAAACTGGAAATAAATGACAAAGGAAACCAGAAAAACCCCATAAATCCATGGAAAGTAAACAACACCCACCCCCCACTCTGCGCCGAGGGAGGCTCCTCCAGTAACTCATTTTCTATACTTCCAAATTGCAGGAAAGGATTTTACAGAACGAGTATTTCCTTTTAAATGAAAGAAACAAAACCCAACCTCCGCGAAGAGTTTTAAGCACTTAAATGCATAGCATGCGCAGAGTCGCCCTGCACAGCGCCGCGGTACGCACCCGCCTGCGGGCCTCGGCCTTCTGAAAGCTCTCGTGTTGGATGAAGGTGGCCGCGGCTGCCACCCTGGCCGGCGGCGTGTGGTCCGCGTCCAGCATGCTCACGGCTCGCTCCAGGGTCATCTCCATGTCCGCGCCCCTAGAGAGACAGGCACAGGTCAGCCAGGCTCCCCACCTAGCACAGTCAAGCCCTGGCTCTTCTTTTTTTTTTTTTCGTGTGTGTGTGTGTGTGTGTGTGTGTGGCCAGCTCAGCCCACCAGGGGGCGGGGCTGGCTGGCATGTGGTGCCTGTGCTTTGCAAAGCTTGTTCCAAGTAGTTGCTTTAGACCACTGAGCCATCTC